TTTTTTTTTTTTGTCTTTCCCATCACATCTCAAGTTTTTTTTTTTTTTAAGTTTTTATTTTATTTCATTTTTTTTTAAAGTAGGCTCCATGCCCAGTGTGGAGCCCAACACGGGGCTTGAACTCAGGACCCTGAGATCAAGACCTGAGCTGAGACCAAGAGTCAGCCACTTAACTAACTGAGCCACCCAGGGCCCCTTAAGTTTTTAATTCCAGATAGTTAACATACAATGTTATATGAGGGCGCCTGGGTGGCTCAGTTGGTTAAGCGACTGCCTTCGGCTCAGGTCATGATCCTGGAGTCCCGGGATCGAGTCCCACATCGGGCTCCCTGCTCAGCGGGGAGTCTGCTTCTCCCTGTGACCCTCTTCCCTCTCGTGCTCTCTCTCTCTCATTCTCTCTCTCTCGAATAAATAAATAAATAAAATCTTTAAAAAAAAACAATGTTATATGAGTTTCAGGTGTACAATTCAGTGATTCAGCGCTTCCATCCATCATCTGGTGCTCATCACGGCAAGTGCCCTCCTTCATCCCCAGCACCTAGTTCACCCCTCCTCCCCCCGGAGAGCACACCCCCAGCGACTCGATGCACACCCCACTTCTCCTGTCCATGCCTTGGCCCACTGTGGGGGGCTTTGGATCATCTCTCTCCTGCTCACTCTTTATAAGGTCAGTGATTTCAGTGGGCAGTTTTTAGTCCTTACTCTGTTGCACCTTTTGGCAGCCAGGGTCCCCCTCTCTTCTGTTCTTGAAATACACTCCTGCCCTGCCTTTTAGTCATGAAAATTTCATAGTCCTTTCTATCTCTCACGTTTTTCTCTTCCAACCTTAGGCCACAGTAGTTTCCAAGTCTTTATCATTTCTTATGTGAACTGGTAAAACAACTTGATAACTGCTTTGATTGCCCCTGAAATAGATTATTTATTGGACCGTGAGTATGTGCCGCATTTGAAAGACAGAAAAGATCATTTGGGGAAAGCGTCATCTCCACCCTTAGCCTCCTGGCCATCCCTTTCTCCCTCCCTGCAGACAGCCAGATAGATACTATCTATCCTTCCAGAGACAGTCTCTGCACACAAGAGCATAAACATATATATTTTCTCATTGATTTCCCTATTCAAGTGGAAGTATATGCAAGACTGTTCTTTCCTTTGTTCTTTCCACACACAAAATGTGTCCTGGAAACCACTCAGCTGCCCCATTTTTTTTTCCCCAAAGATTATATTTATTTATCTGAGAGAGAGAGAGAGAAGCAGATTCCCTGCTGAGCAGGGAGCCCAACAGATGTGGGGCTCGAACCCAGGACTCTGAGATCACGACCTGAGCCGAAGGCAGATGATTAACCGACTGAGCCACCCAGGTGCCCCTGACCCATTTTTTTTTTTAAACAGTGTGTGGTGCTCAGTTATCACCATTACTTTATTCTCTCTGGAATGCCCATTAATCACCGTGTGTTTAAAACCGACAGTCTCCTATATCTTAAACATCTCTTAGGGCTTGGCCCAGTTGTCACCATTCTGTGAAGTCTCTGAACCCCGCAAGGGGTATTGGCACCCCTTGCTCAGTGCCCTCATGTTCCCCAAAATGGCACTGAGCATAGCCTACACTTCCGTGTTCCGCTGGAGTTGGTGCCGTGTGGCAGAATTATTTGTGTTACTTTTAAAAAATATACACGCTCAGGCTTTACCCCCGTACACGCATTCAGTAGGCCTGATACCTTACTGAATTAAGAACCAGTGCCTACATCGAGTTCCTCTGTGGAATAAGTGATTCTTACTCATGGGTTATTGCCTGGTACCTGGAGTCTGCTCATTGTGAGGTAGGAAAACAGCAAATATCTGGAGAATATGCTGGGGCTAGAAGGCAAGATCGGCCCCAAATTGAAGCATGTATTGATTGGTAGGAACTGAGACGGAGTAGGGTGATGGTGAAGGAGGGTTCGTGCTTGATGCATCTAGGTCATTCTAGATCTTTCTGGAATGTAGGGGAAGATGAAGGAAAGGAGCTGCCTTCCTCGTCTGGCTGCAGTGCACTCACCTGAGAGGGTTCACTTGCCTAACTCTCACAGCCCCACCAGACCCACCGGGCCCTGCAGCCCGGATAGCTGCTGTCCTTCCTACCGGCCATGCTTGGCAGATGTAGATTTACTAAGACTGTAGGTCAGTTGTGGCCTTGTCTGCATTCTCTCTGCTCAACTGATAAACTAGACCTTTCCAAACAAGGATGTTACTAGTAAATAATGAGAAATAAACACAGGAAGTACAAGAAAATAAATAGAAAGTGAGCACTGTTGGGGCACCTGGGTGGCTCAGTCAGTTAAGCATCTGACTCTTGATTTCAGCTTAGATCATGATCTCAGGGTCCTGACATTGAGCCCCACATTGGGTTCTGCTCTGATCATGGAACCTGCTTGAGATTCTCTCTCTCTCTCCCTCTGCTCCTCCCCCTGCTTGCTCTCTTTCTCTCTCTCTCTCTCTCTTTCTCTCTCTTGCGCGTGCGCGCGCAAAAAATAAATATATAAATAAAAATTTAAAAATTAAAGAATAAAAACAGAAAGTGAGCACAGTGGCTCAAATTTCTGCACCTGTGGTGTCAGACTTGCTGGGACTTCTCAGCGAGACTGGTTCTGCTCCTCTGGTAGAAGTCCACTTCTTCACCTACGGGGCTGTCATAGTTTCACTTGTTATAAACTATACTGTAAACCCAAGGAATGAACCTGTGGCTGGACAAGGAGACTAAATATTTTAGGATGGTAATGACCATCCCGGACTCATAGGACTGGGGGAGTCACTCCTGTCAAACCTGTCTGCCCTATTTCCTTTCCAGGGCAAACCAGAGAAGAAGGCTGCTTCCTTGCCCTTCCTCTTCAGAAAACTTTGCTCTCTCCACCATGGACCACCATGGAATTCTATATTTTTAGTTCCCAGGGAACTAGGACTAGGGAGCCCCTCATTCTTGATGTCTTAAGAGATCACAGAAGATTGGCACCTCGAACCTGTGAAGGATATCAGACCAAGGTTTTCACTTTCTTCCCAACAACCTCTGCCTTCTGGAGAATTCTGGTTCGCTTCCTCGTGTTCTTTCAAGACAGTAATTTGTAAAAGTCTAAATGTTACAGTTTTATGGTGTCAGAATAGCTTTTAAAATTGTAGTAACACAAGAAAAAGGTGTGTTCTCGAATGATGTGGGAGGTTACCGCCCTCCGGCCATACTGCGGGCGCCCCTCAGAGTGCTGTTCTTACTGCACAGACTTGTTGCAAAATTCCAGACACTTTCCCAGAGACAAGGCACATCCACTGGGTTCCTTCCTCGTGTGGGGCTAATGAGCATCTCACTTCCCCATCTTTCACCTCCCTGTTGTGTGGGGGGAAGACTTACTGCCCCTCATCACCCTCCTTTCCCTGGAGCAGTGACTTACTGAGTTCAGGAATGAATTAGAGTCCGTGGGTCTTCTCTGCATCTCCTGCCCACCTCACCCAGGTCCTAGCTACTCACCGTCCCAGGGATGGGGCATATTATTGGCTACGTAGATGGTTTAGATACAGTCTGCATTGTTTAGGCTTGCTTACTATTAAATTTTAAAACCTTTAACATTTTGGGGGGGGCGCCTGAGTGGCTCAGTTGGTTAAACAACCAGCTCTTGATTTTGGCTCAGGTCGTGATCCCACGGTCCTGGGATCGAGGCATGCGTCAGGCTCCCCGCTCAGCAAGGAGTCTGCTTATCTCCCTCTCCCTCTCCCTCTCTCCCTGTTTGTGCACACACTCTCTCTTGCTCAAATAAATAAATCTTAAAAAAAAAAAAAAAACCTTTAACATTTTCTTAAGCCTTTTTTTTAACCATTTGGAATAATGGCAACTTCCAAAAAGCATATATATGCTCAGAATCTTCTGTTCCCTAATCTTGCTCTTAAATTGCCAGTTAACGGGGCTGATTCACCTGAAAAACGAAGAGAAACCGGGTGAGAAATAGTTTCCTTTTTAAGCTGTTCTCACACCTTCAGGATTTCCCTAAGAAGATCTCACAGTAATTTTAGAAGTTTTAAATGACAAAGTCCACCCAAAAGTATTCCGTACTGATTGGGTTTTCTCCACAGATAGTCATGTTTGTATTAAAAGTTAATACACACACACACACACACACACACACACACAGTTGTGCCCCTGGTTATCTGAGCTCACATGCCCCTCAGTATTCTTAAAGGCGCTCAGAAAGCCACCTGGCAGTATTTTCAGTTTAGGAATGAATGACGTGGGCTTGTATCTCTCCACTTGCCCTAAGCCTCCACAAGAGGCTTATTCCCTTATTCCCTATTAATCTTGTTTGGTCTTCTAGAAGGTTTTATTGAATTCCATTGTCCATTGTTCAGAGACTGAGCTGAATTTCCTGCTAAAAGAGTCAGAGTATGAAACCAAGGAGCTCGTAGGGGAAATTTTGCTGTCTTTGTTCCTGAAAGTAAAAATATGAACTTCCTGTAGTAGTGACTTATGGTACCTTAGTATCTTCTGTAGAAATTGCAGGAGCATCTCAGCCTCCAGAGAACCTAGAATCTCAGAGATGTCAACCAGACTTTCTTTCACTAAATTTACCAGCTCTTGTCCCTTCACTCAACTCTGAACTGCAGTGAAGCTGGAAAAGGAGCCATAATTTTGTGGTGTCTGAGGTAGAAGAGACTAGAATCAATAAAGAGCACAGGGAAATCCTGAATCCACGTGGAAAAGAGCAGGAGGGTACAGGTCCTCGGTGCAAAAGCCATTATCCTATCAGGTTTTCAGCAACAAAGTAATTGTTAGTCTGTTCATCTTTTCCTTAAAAATGATTCACATCTTCATGATGGAAAGGGATATAAAGGAGAAATGAAAATGAGCAAACATGTTGACTTAGGGGCTCCTAATTCCGTCTCGATGGTCAAGGCTGCCAATCGAGATGACTCTGACCCACGCCGAGCCTTCCGTTTCAGGGGATAAGGCATTAACCCTGTACCCCTGTGCTTGGTTTCTCCAGAGGCAGTTGCTTCTTGAGAATGGGACCCTGTCCCCTTCCCCACCTCCTGTGACCGGGCCAGTGGCCACCGTGTCTCCGGGGATGCCTGTGAACCACCAGCAGTCAGACTCATCGGAGATGGACTCGGATGTGTCCCCCAGCTGCGGGCTCAGCGACCTGAGCAGAGGGGGCAGCTTGGACAGTCGAAGCAGCAGCTCCCGCTCCAGGAGTTTGACTTTGGTGAGTGACCGCTTTCTTTAAAGCTCCGGCTGCCTGGTTTTGTGCCAGCCGCCTCCCCTTTGAAGAATATCTTACCCTCTTGGGTTCATGAGCTCGACGTCTCTGCATACTTGCTTTGTGAAGTGGCATTTCATTTGTAATCATCTTAAGATTTGCATGGATGCAGAGTGTTCCGCTCAGCAGTGAAGCACCTCTCACGCTGTGGCCGGTAACCCGGCTGCTGAGACCCCAAGAGGACTGTGCCCAAAGGCCGAGACCCGCCTGGCAAGGGCCTGCTGCCTTTCAGCTCAAAGGGCTGAAAGGAGGGGCACCTGGGTGGCTCAGTCGGTTTGAGCATCAGACTCTTGGTTTCGACTCAGGTCACGATCTCAGGGTCATGTGAGATTGAACCCGCATCAGGCTCCGTGCTCAGTGCAGAGTCTGCCCCAGATTCTCTTTCTCCTTCCCTCTGCCCCTCCCCCCTGCTCATGCTCTCTCTCTTTCTAAATAAATAAATAATTTTTTTTATAAAAGGGGTTGAGGGGTGCCTGGGTGGCTCAGTCAGTTAAGCGTCTGCCTTCAGCTCAGGTCATGATCTCAGGGTCCTGGGATTGAACTCCGGGGTCGGGCTCCCTGCTCAGCGAGGAGCTTGCTTCTCCCTCTCCTCCCCAATTTCTCTCTTGCTATCTCTGTCTCTCTCTCAAATAAATAAATAAAAATATTTTTAAAAAGCGGGGGCGGGGGGTTTGAAAGGAGAGAAGCACCTCACAGGGCAAAAACAAATTCACTTTTGGGGCGCCTGGGTGGCTCAGTTGGTTAAGCGACTGCCTTCGGCTCAGGTCATGATCCTGGAGTCCCGGGATCGAGTCCCACATCGGGCTCCCTGCTCAGCGGTGAGTCTGCTTCTCCCTCGGATCCTCCCCCCCTCATGCTCTCTCTCTCTATTTCATTCTCTCTCTCAAATAAATAAATAAATAAAATCTTTAAAAAAAAAAAACAAATTCACTTTGAAACAGATTTTTACCTCCTTTGCAAATATAAGTGCTTTTGTATCCCTTTCTCTCAGGATCCAGGCCCTTATACAGCATCAAAAAGCTTTGGCAACATTTACAAAAAGGGTCTTTAGTTTTAAAGGTGATCCTTCTGCACCCCTTGCCCCTCAAGATACTCATCTTTCAGGAGAGAGACCCTTTATATTCGCAGAGGGAAGGACAGGGGGGAGATAGCATTGGACCCACTGAGAATAGTCTCCATTGTTCAGCTCAGTCCCTTGGAATGGGGGCAGAATTTCCTTCAGACACACTGAGTCCTAAAATTAACCCCAATTGTGCTGAATAAAAGACAAGTATTTATGGCATAGAGGGCAGTTAATAGTAATGATGGAATTTTGTAGACTCCCGCTTTGCATCTTTTCTTAAATCATCATGGTAATATGAAATAAATACTATCTGACTTGATTTGCCAAGAGAAACATATTACAAATTACTCCCTGAATATCTGGGAACCTAAAAATCCTTAATGGGGAATTTGGGCCTGCTTTTTAAATTTAAGTATATACAAAGGACATATTAATAGAACATGTAGAAAAGACAGATGAACTTGCCAGCAATTAGCGGAGTATGTGCTCCAAAGTATGAGTTAGGAAGTAGCCCACTCGATGTAGACGGTGTTTCTAAAACTTGGGGTGGTGACTTAGGTCCTGTAGTCGACGAGACCACCTGTGCCAGTGGTGATGGAGTACAACGGAGAGTGTTCTCAGGCGCCCGCGCTATCTAAGGAAATGGGTGTAGCGTGTTAGCAGTCAGGGTATTTGAATTATTTTCTTGTTGAACTGGAGGCAAGTCTCTTACCCTGCTTCGCAGCATGGCCCCTATTGATGGAGGATAAAATAACCCCTTCTCGGGGCGCCTGGGTGGCTCAGTTGTTAAGCTTGTGCCTTTGGCTCAGGTCATGATCCCAGGGTCCTGGAATTGAGCCCCACATTGGGCTCTCTGCTACGCAGGAAGCCTGCTTCTCCCTCTCCTACTCCCCCTGCTTGTGTTCCTGCTCTCGCTCTCTATCAAATAAATAAATAAAATCTTTAAAAAATAAATAAATAACCCTTTCTCTCTGTCTTCCACTGGGAGAGACCACAATCCCAAGCATGCCAAGTGGCTTTGATTTGGGGGAAGGAAATTTGCTGTTTTTGAATCTCCGTTCTAGTCACATAGGGTCCATTCTTCATTCCAGCCAGTTAATGCCTACTTCCACCAATCTCAAGTGTGGCTCAAACTCCCATGCTCCAGAGACAAATAGGACTTGACGGATCTCTGTGAACTTGTGCAGTGAGGAGTGGCATCCACTGTGTTCCCCACCACCTTCTGTCTCTTTGGTGTGTGTGATTTATCCATTTGCTCGAATCCCTTGTTCTGGGAGTCAGGGACACTGCAGAGGTGCTTACATTCTAGTGACTGTGGCCCAGCATGGCACGAGGGGCTATCGCAGATGTGCTCCCCAGGTGGCAGATTCTGAGATGCAGGGTAGGAGGACAGAGTGCAAGGGGCTTCTTAGGGGTGCTCCTGGGATCAGCACCTGGAAGGAAGAGGAAGCAGCAGGGGGCAGGGAGAAGCTCTTCCCCAGGAAGCTGGGAGCTGGGACGGTCCTTCAGTTGTCCCACATCGGGTTGAACGTGGAGCCTTAGTACCCACTCGGTGATCAGCCACTGGACGCAGGACACCCCTGGAAGGATGTGTGACCTTGACAAGAGGATTTCTTTTAGCTCAAGACAATCCCCAAAGAGGACTAGCAGCTTCGGGCCACCTTCCAGCAGCACTGCCAACAGATGGGGGAACAGGTCCTTCACCAACTGGTGAAGGACCTGATCTGGTGGGGGGTGCATCATACTGACCATCACGAAGGTTTAGGGGAAATGGAAAAGGAGGCTTGTAGAGGGGATCACAGCCACCAGAATACCCACAAGGTATCTTTCCTGGAAGAAGTAAGTCTGTAAAGCAAACTCGGGAAGTTTACAAGACACTGCCGTAGAAAATAGAACTTTGCATGGAATGTATGTCTAGGCAGATGGGACATTAAGGTCTGTCATCTGGCAGATTTGGAGAATATGCATCATGTCGATGCTTTGTCGGATGTCATACACAAGACTTCGTCTTCAGGGACAAAAGCTCTTGTTTGAAGGGAGGTCTATTAAGTATCAGTTCCAGAGTCACAAAGAGAAGTGACTTATTTTAAAACTTTTTATGAAAGGGGTGCCTGGGTGGCTCAGTTGGTTAAGCGGCTGCCTTCTGCTCAGGTCATGATCTCAGGGTCCTGGGATCCAGCCCCGCGTTGGGCTCCCTGCTCGGCGGGGAGTCTGCTTCTCCCTCTCCCTCTGCCCCTGCCTCCGCTTGTGCTCTCTCAAATAAATAAGTACAATCTTTAAAAAATCTTTTTATCGTGGACAATTTTTAGTAATATATTAGAAATATCGGGTTCAAAGGTGGGAGAAACTACAAATCTCTTACATTTATACATATCAGAAGGTCAAGGTGGATAGAGTGAGAACAACATTAACTGCCTTTGGGGAAGGATTTCTGAGCCATCAGCATTGGTCTGCATAGGTTTTGTGGTAGGGCTGAATAGGTATCAGCAGGACATTCCCCGATATACTTATGATTTCTCTCAAATCCAAAAAACCCCCCCGCCTTATGCATGTTTAAAGTTGCTTTCTTTTTTACTAACCAGTCTGTATCCTAAAAATCAGCTCAGAATAGTAACAAACACAGCGTATTAGTGACAGGCTCAAGTTCACATTCAAATTCGTCTCCTTTGGAACCTGGGAAGGGTTAGTCAGTCACTGTGTTCCTTAGTTACTTTCTTCCTGAGTTACAAACGGGGGTGATGGGAAAATAATTCTTTCCCCAGGGTGACTGGAAGGATGCGCGGGCCAGCACGCAGTCCGGGCTTACTGACGGCAGCCTCTTTGGCGAGCGCCCTCTGAGCTTCCAGGTTGTGTGTGATTCCGCTTCATCCCGCCCCAGCTTCTTGTTGGATCCGTGCTCTCCCGGTCATATCTCTGTCTCATCAGTAGTCTTCTGAGTTTTTCCTTTGACCACTGATGATGAGACGGAAAGGGAGAACCCCCCCCCCCCCCCCGCCACCGCCAGCATCTCACACCCTCTCCCCCTGCCCAGCATCTCACACCCTTCCTAATTCTTGCAATGTCCCTCCGGGGCATCACTTTGGGGTGAACATCCAGAACACCTATCCTCCTCTGGTTCTTTCCTCTCTGGTACCGTCCCACAGTGGGACTGCAATGTGTCTGACTCTTCTCTGTTCCCCGCAGTGCCCAACATTGTACCCAGTGGAGCATAATTGTGGCAAAGGCATTGCAGATTCTACTTTCAGGAAGTGCATGATGAAAATATATTCTCAGGATGCGTGTGTGGGTGTGTGTGACCCCATAATCCTGCCACATACCCCACTTGGCTCTCTGTTTCTCTCGCTGTCTATAGGAGGACATGTCACAGTCCTGTTCCAGCACATTCTACACAGACCTCTGCTTGTTTTCAAGCATTTTCCTTTCTGGAAGATCATTGAGCCAACTTGAGCTGCCTCTCATGTCATCTGGCAGTTATGTGTTCTCCTTAGAGAGGAGCGGCACGCTGAGAAAATGTGGCATTTTGATTAGGACTTAACTTTTATGAAGCACTGTCTTGGCAGCCAGCCCCTTTCACCAGTGAACTAGCTACACCATTAAAAAAAAAAAAAGTGTGAACTTTCAAGGACTCTAAATGTGGAGAGGAGCTCTATATGTTTTGATTCCAAGTCATCAGGTCTTTTTATGACTCATCTTTTCGGAATGAGATTCAACCATAGTAGTTTGCCACTTATTGCCCTGTCACTCCCGACCTCGTGGAAGACTAGTCAATGACCGTGCTTTTAGGCCTCTGGCATTGTTCGGTGTTCAATCTAAAGGCTCTTTAGATAAGAGATAACCTACTTAGGGAAACGTTTCTTTTAAGCAAGGGTTATTTATAAAAGAAGATAAAACATGAATGCCTGATGTTAAATGAGAGTATCCTACTAAAGTTTTCAAACACTAGTTGAAGTGTTGCCTGGGGTATAACAGGTCTTTATACTATGAAAACTTTTCTCCTGAGCCAGTGCAAGCTAAAAATGAAAATAGCTGCTTCAGTAGGCTTGTTCTGGCTGCCCACATGGCCCCCATGATGACCAGGACTGTTCCACGAGGGCAAAGGATGCGGTCTTTTTCACCAAGAGGCTGGTTGTATTTGTATATGTACTTTGTTTTTCTTGTAAGGAAGTCTGCCTCTGAACACTTTTTAATGCAAGAATGAGAACAGACTGGCCAAATCACAAAATGCTCGAGTAAGAGGATACATTGCGAACGTGTTTTTTTTTCCCTTTGGAACTTAAGAAGAATGGCTGCAATGGAAAACAAGGCAGCACATCTTGGCCAAGTTGGGAGGGTGGTTTTGGAACTTACCGCCTTCGTCGGTGATATGGATTCAGGAGAAAAGTTTCTAGAAGAATTTGGAGACATTCATAAATGATAGCTGTCCAAGGGGACAAAAGAAGCTTTGGGTGTAGGGTTCCCTATATTCTTAACCCCTGCAGGCTGGGATCTGGAGCACACATCTCATGCAACGCCAGGGACGCATGGCTGCCTCCTGCCCGCGTGCTTGGGTGCTATTTCTGCAGGTGGCCCTGCAGCCTGCAGACCTCCTGGGGCTTCCTCTAGAAGAGAAGTTGACTGCCTGCTTGAAAAGAGTGGGAAACTCTTAATACCCACGACTCTGAAGGGACTTGGTAATGCACACGCTTCTTTGAGGGCGGATTAGAAGCACCCCAAATCCCCAGGCATACCTCCCGTTTTTATCTCTAACTTGAGCCAAAGCAATGATCCAGATTCATTACCGAGCGTTTGGAGATCTACTATTCAGTGAACTGTTCTGCAACCCTCCCTTCTTCCCAAGCTAACAAACGTCATAGCCCTGCAGCCACATAACAAGCCTGTGATCAGACAGCAGTTGCCGGCTCCCGATCACCCGATCACCCGCTTCCTTCTCCAAAGCCTTTGATTGTCTTTTGGCCTCACCCATTTGTCATGGAATAAGAAGGTAGAGCAAGCAGTGGTGAACACTGTCTGCGTGGCTAGGTTAGGTGAAGTCCGGGTCATACACAGCAATCGGACACAGAAGGGGCTGGGTGATTCCACAGAGAGGAAACAGAACCGAGGATGGAAAAGAGAAGCAGGGGCACCTGGGTGGCTCCGTGGGTTAAGCGTCAGCCTTCCGCTTGGGTCATGATCTCAGGGTCCTGGGATCAAGCCCCACATGGGGGGGGGGGGTCCCTGCTCAGCAGGGAGCCTGCTTCTCCCTCTGCCCCTCCCCCTGCTCATGTCTCTCTTTCTCTCAAATAAGTAAATAAAATCTTAAAAAAAGGAAAGGAAGGAAGGAAGGAAGGAAGGAAGGAAGGAAGGAAGGAAGGAAGGAAGGAAAGAAAGAAAGAAAGAAAGAAAGAAAAAGAAAGGAAGAAAGAAAGAAAAGAAAAGAAAGAAAAAGAAAGAAAAGGAAGAAAAGAAAGGAGAAGCAGACTGGTCACTAGTGACCCCCGTCTTCCTTTCCATTTCCTTACCCTCCCTGAGCCCACAACTTGCTGGTCAAAGCAGCCATTTTACGACAGAGTTCAAATAGCTTTTATAAAAGTTGGATTCAGGAAACCCTTACTAAACGCCTGCTGCACACTGGAACAGGTAGATGACGAGTACCACGCGGGGTTCCTCTTTCCAGAGCTCGCAGTTCGGCAGCACGCGTGAAGGTCTGGGTCAGCGCGACGGGCTCATGGGGGGTCTGGGAGGGCGCTGGATGGCAGGCGCGCAAGGTGGCTGGCTCCGTCTTAGGCCTTCTTCACATTACTGCTGGCGGACGGAAGTTGCAGGCAGGCCAGGAGCCCAGCAGTGATCCTTTGAAGCTTTGATTCCTTTTTTTTTTTTTTTTTAAGATTTTATTTATTTGACACAGAGACAGACACAGCGAGAGAGGGAACACAAGCAGGGGGAGTGAGAGAGGGAGAAGCAGGCTTGATGCGGGGAGCCTGATACGGGGCTCGATCCCAGGACTCTGGGATCACGACCTGAGCCGAAGGCAGACGCTTAACGACTGAGCCACCCAGGTGTCCCCGAAGCCATGATTCTTTAGATCTGTCATCAAAACTGGGCGTACATCTCGTCCCTCACTGGTTGGTTGGTGTCGCTTTCCAGCCAGAAGTACAGGGTTCAGTTAGCCCTGGTGAAAACTCACCACAGTGACGGGCTAGAGAGAACCATAATGAAGCCCCTACCCCAGTCTGTGGGGAGCGCCATGGGCGCTTACGGTCTCCCGGCGGGGAGTGCCGAGGTCAGCACAGTCCGGAGAGCCCTCTCGGGGACTGCATGGAGGCCCAAGGTGACGTGCTTCTCTAGGCCCCTGTTCGGCTTCAGCTGCGGGGCTGGGGGCGTCTCTCATCAGCTTAGGTCAGTGAAGCCTTGCTCAAGTGTCTGGAAGGTCATTTTGGTGTGTGGAAAAAGCCAGTGTGAGGGGCACCTGGGTGGCTCAGTGGGTTAAGCGTTTGCCTTTGGCTCAGGTCATGATCCCAGGGTCCTGGGATTCCAGTCCTGTGGGGAATCCTTGCTCAGCGGGGAGCCTGCTCCTCCCTCTGTTCCCCTCCCCACCTGGTGCTCTCTCTCTCACACTCTCTCTCTCTCACAAATAAATAAATAAAATCTTAAAAAAAAAAAAAGCAAATATGAACATCAAATCACACTCTACTCTACCAAAACAAATACTCTAGGCTGCCCACCTAAGAGATTGGCAGTTGAGAGATCTTGGTTCATCTCAAGAATATTTTTAGCCATCATAATCTTGTTTATGATTTTTGTTTTTTGGTCTGGAATAGAGATGAATTCTATAAGTTCTTTCTCTCTCACAAGGAGTTGCCACATTGTCTTAATCTGCAGTTAAGCCAAATTTCTTTTTTTTTTAATTTTGTTTATTTAAGAGAGAGAGCACACGTGCGTACAAGCAGGGGAAGGAACAGAGGGAGAGAGACAAGCAGACCTCGTGCTGAGCATAGAGCCTGACGTGGGGCTCAATCCCACAATCCTGAGATCATGACCTGAACCAAAACCAAGAATTAGTCACTTAATGGACTGAGCCACCCAGGCACCCCAAGCCCAGTTTCTTTGTTTAAATGAAAAACAAAACAAAGGGTGCCACATCGGGTTCCATGCTGAACATGGAACCTGCTTGAGATTCTCCCTCTGCCCCTCTCCCCACCCCCTGCTTGCACTCTCTCTCTAAAATAATAAACAAATCTAAAAAAAAAAAAAACAAAAAAACAAAAGAAAAAAGCTTCAGAACTTAATTCAGCATTTTTTTAAGGTAGGTGTTTAGTATGAGTATTTTAGGCTTCCTCCATTTTTTGTGTAGCCAAATGTTTCTTTCCTCTCTACATTTTCTCTTGAAATGAAACTCCTGTCCCAAATCTGCACTCCTGTAGGCATATCTAGGACTGTTGACTTTCAGAACTGTTGGTAACATTTGCTATAAAAGTCTGTCATCCAGGGGTGCCTGAATGGCTCAATGGGTGGAGCACCGACTCTTGATTTGGGCTCAGGTCATGGTCTCGGGGTCTTGAGTTCAAGCCCCATGTCGAGCTCCAAGCTCAAGGCAGAGTCTGCCTGAGATTTTCTCTTTTCCTCTCCCTCTGCCCCTCCCCCTGCTCATGCTCTCTCTCTCTCAAATAAATAAAATCTTTTTAAAAATTTAAAAATAAAATCTTAAAAGTCTGTCATCCAGCTTATCTGGTTGTTCCTCTCAGAGCTCCGCTGGGACTAGGTAGACATTTCTTCCGTCATTTTCATGTAGGAGTGGACAGACATCTGCAAGACCAGGACTTTTGTCCTCCTCATGGGAGACATGTATAGCATCCGTTACAATTACTTTAGTAGACTTAGTGTTTTGAATTTTCTGGTTTGAATATAATAGAAATTATTTCTTCACAATTATAATATACATATTAGGGTAGAAATATATGTATTCTCACATTTTTAAACAAAATGGTGTTTCCCTTGGAGACTTACAGACATTACCTGAAGTTAGCATGGCGGGGTAGAAGCGGGGGGAGGTATGGTTTTCTAGCATGGCGGAGCAGAATGGGGGGGGATGGTTTTCCAGAGAGTTCTTATAGATCTGGAGATTGATAGCCCAAATTGGTACATTAAAAACACCATTCATAGAAAGGGAATTTAAGGGGCGCCTGGGTGGCTCAGTCGTTGGGCGTCTGACTGTACACCTAACCAAAATAGATTGGGTCGTGATCCTGGGGTCCTGGGATTGAGCCCCGCATTAGGCTCCCTGCTCAGCGGGGTGGCCGGCTTCTCCTTCCACCACTCCTCCTGCTTGTGTTCCTTCTCTCGCTTTGTCTCTCTCTGTCAAATAAATAAAATCTTTTCTTTTTAAAAAAAAAAAGGGAATTTAAAAAAAATTTCGCTGTCAGCCTATTTCCAAATACTAACACAGTTCTTCAATTCCCTTCTTCATTTCTGATCTACTTAGTTCTTTGGGACTAAGTTAGCAAATGCCGCTTCCAAAAGGCTCACCGGCGAAGCAGGGACCACCACTGCCAGGGCTCCCTCCCTCCTCCACGGGGGGCCACGAGGCCCCTGCCTTCCTTGTTGTTGTTTTCACTCTGTGACAGCTCTATTGAGGTATCATGCACATACCAGACAGTTCACCCGTGTAAAGTATGCCCGTCGGTGGTTTCTAGTAGATTCCCAGAATTGGGCAACCATCATCACAATCACATTTAGAATATTTTCTCCACCCCCAGAGAAACCCCTGCACCCAGTAGCAGTCACTTCCTGTTTCCTCCAACTCCCTCAGCCCTGAGCAAACACTCACCTGCTTCCTGGCTCTATCAACTTGCCTATTCTCAGTGCCCTGCTTTTCATGCTCTGCCTCTTCGCCAAGGCCCGTGTCTTCCTCTTGCCTTCCTCTTGTCTGAGGAGTCTGCAGCACCAGCATCTCCGGGGAACTGGAGGAGTAGATAGGAACCCTCTCACACAAGGGCACGCACCCCTTTTCTGGCCCTGAATACCCTGCTCCCTTGCCCTTGGCACTGCGGCTTTTCTTGGTTTCTGCCTTCTTTCCAACCCCCGGGTGTAGGCAGAGGGGGGTTCATGTGGAGGGCAGCTTCTTGTTTGGGGAATTAGGCAGCAGACGGAGCCCACAGCTCTTTTTGGCTCTGCCCCTTAGGTCAGCACTGCAGACCAGTCCGAGCACAGACACGGTGCGTGGGGATACACACCAGCCTCACGGCCTGTATGTACTCCAGCCTCTAACTCCAGGGAGAGAGCTCAGATGGGTTGGGGATGCAAGAATCTGAGTCTTCCAGGACCCAGGCCTCTGATCTTGAATAAGTATGTAATTAGAAACAGAAATGAATCGAATAAAACAAAAAAGCAAGAACAGACTAGTCGTAGTCTTGGCCACTCTACTGAGTAGTCGTAGGACCTTGGGGTCATTTCATTGCCCCTGAGCCCAGTGTTCACATCTTCCAGTGAGGGAGCGGGGCTGATTGATCTGTGTGTTTTGTCTTTCAGCCTATGGGTCCTACAACCTGTCCAAGAACACAGAATGGTTGTGTAGGAGCTGCCCTTTCTAAGCCCATTTTCCAAATGCCATCTTACATTGGGATTTCTTGCTCAGAGGTTGGATTAGATCTGTGGGGCTTATATACTCTGTTCATAGTTTCTGCCCTTCACTCAGTGTGGGAAGTTGGCATGTGTCTTAAGCTGAAGGTGTGTTGCAGGCCAGTTGCCCATTTAATTCTGCTGTCTGTACACCTAACCAAAATAGATTATCTAAAAATCTTGTGCATGGCCCTATTGAAACACTGAGTTGGGAAAGGCAAAGTAGGAGGAAGAGGGAAGAGAGCGTTAATTTATTTCCTTAGACATTTTGTTTGGTTATGGTTGTTATCATCATCACGTCATCCTAACAACATCGTGATGGTTGTAATTATTAACTACAGGGACCTTTGTTATGCTAAGAGCCCTAATGATTTTTAGACTTGCAAGTTTTTTTCCGTTGAATCACTGAGCTAAACTACTCTGCATGGATAGGAGAAGCATTTGAAATGTCTTCGGGTGAGTCTGGGAAAGCAGGAGAGTTAGGAGCGTGTGTGCTGAATGGACGGGGGACAGGATGGTCTGGCAAGAATAAGGTGTATAGAGAACAGAAGAGGCAGGAATGCCCTACACCATCCATGGTGACCCTCCAGATGATCCCACCAGTCTTCAAGAAACTCTAGAAAAATCACAATATGAATGGTGTCGCTGGATTTCATATGAAGCTTTCCTGTTCTGGTTGCCAGAGGGACAAAGCAGACAGACATGTGAAGGGGCAGCCGACATTTTGGTCCCATGACAAGACCACCTGTAAGCTCTGTAGGTGGTCTGGGGGGGGCATCGGCTATATGAGGCTCCTCTTTAAGTGTGAAGTCTGGTAGAGCTGGAAACCTGGATGATGAACAACTGTAGTTGAGAATTTAAATGAGGAGCTGATTCTACATTTTAAATTGCTCTGAAATCCCACCTCCTCCTCTCTCTTCCCATCACCCCTGCTCTGCTTTAGGTGACCTTGACGTCCCGTCCAGATTGCTTCCCACATTCGATATTTCCCACGTGATAGGCAACGTGATCTCTCAAACACAGATCTACCTACCCCGTGTCCCTTTGTGTTTGACTCTCACCCACTTCTTTCAGATTATTGGCAGATATCACTTCTTCGCCCAAGTGCTCCAGGGCAGACCCCTTCCCCAAAAGTGTGGATTAACACACATTTCCTTAATACCCTGTAGTCACCTCATTGGAGCCATTTCCAGACTCTGAAGTAACTACCTCTTTTCTTATCTAACGCCCTCATTAGATGATCAAGTAGACAGCAAGAATATTATTTACACTGTTATATTTACATTGCCTGATGCTTAGTAGATGCTCAAATATTTGAATGTCTGATTCAGTAGATGCTATGGAGTCGGCTGGAGGTGTGGTGACCACGAAGGATAGGTCAAATGTGGCCATGCGGAGACAGGCACTGCTGACATGAAAAGGCACAGGAGATGGCAGGTGGTTTGATGGGATTAGAGCATAGAGCAAGAGTTGGGAGACCATAGCCTGTAGGTCAGCTCTGGCCCCCCATCTGTTTTTGTAAATAAAGGTTTATTGTAACAAAGCTAGGCTTGTTCATTAACACAGTGTCTATAACTTTCACACTACATGGACGGAGTTGAGTAGTTGTCACCATAAAGCTTGCAAAGCCCAAAATATTTACTCCCTGCCCTTACAGAAAAAGGAACCCTCCCTGGAATAGAGTAGAAAGGGGAGAGTAGTAGGAGATGAAATTTGAAAAGTAGGTAGGGCCAGATACTGGAATTCTCAGAATAAAGTGTAAATTCCTTAGTCACATGTTCTGTAGATGATGGTACTGGGTTTTTTTATTTTTATTTTTTTAAAAGATTTTATTTATTTGTCAGAGAGAGAGCACAAGCAGGGGGAGTGGCAAAGGGGTAAGCAGGCTCCCTGCTGAGCAAGGAGCCTAATGTGGGACTTGATCCCGGAACCCTGGGATCATGACCTGAGCCAAAGGCAGATGCTTAACTGACTGAGCCACCCAGGCGTCCCCGTACTGGGTTTTTAAAAACCCATTTCTCTTTCCCTTGGTCCAGCACTCAATAAAAAGTACTCAGTCAGCAACACTTTATGCCCATTTTCCCTCATGGTACCCTGCCCCTCCTCTAATGCCCCTCACACTGACCTTGTTCTTAGAATATTGAAGCTCTCAGGGACTATCCACTGCTAGGTATGCAGACTGATCAAATTACACAGACCTAGTTAATATGAACCTGCTCTAATTTCAGCTGGAGAAAAAGTATTCTTTCAGTCTTTCCTCTCCCCCACCCCCCCAAAAAAAATCTCAGGAAAGGTGGAGCAAAAAGATAAGCTAGGAGCTAAAATTAAAATCTTAGGGCATATTGTTTCAAAAGTTGACATTTTAAAAAGAAGGGTATACAAAACCTGATCACAAAGAAAGGAAAATGACAAGCCAATCCGTCTTATAATACAGATGCAGAAATCCTAAACGAAATGTTAGCAAATCAAATTCCGCGATGTATAAAAAAGGATAACATCACGACCAGACTGGACTTGTTCCAAGAATGCAAGGTTGGTTTAATGTTTGAAAATCAATCATTGTAATTCAGTTCATTGACAGAAGAAAAGAGGAAAAGTATATAATCATGCCTCCTCAGCCTCCTCAGCCAGATCATTCTTTCTGTGGGGAGTTGTCTAGTGCGCTGTAGGCCACAGAGCGTGACACCCACTGGATGCTGGTGACACCCACCCAGTTGTGACAACCAAAAGTGTCTCCAGACATTGCCAAATGCCTTGTGAAAGGTAATGTCACCCCTAGCTGAGGATCACTCTAATACATAAAGAAAATGATATGACAAAATTCAAAACCCATTCGTTATATTAAAACCAACATACTCAGCTACTCAGCAAACTAGGAATAGAAGAAAATTTTCTTAATCTGATAAAAATCATTTTTTTTTTAAATCTACAACAGGGGCGCCTGACTTGGTTCAGATGATGGAGTGTGGGACTCTTGATCTCAGGGCTGTGAGTTCAAGCCCCAGTTTGGGGGTAGACTTTACTTAAAAATAAATAAATAAATAAACAATAAAACTTAAAAAAAAAAAAAACCCCTATGGCAGACATTATACTTAATGGAGAAATATTGAAAGCTTTCTCTCTGATATTGGGACCAAGACAAAGATGCCATTTCTATTCAGCTGACTTGAGAACCCAGCCAGTACGATAAGGCACATGAAAAAAATGAATGGGTCACAAAAGGAATGGAAAGGAGGAAATAAAAATCTCTCATTTATAGACACCATTGTGTATGTAGAAAATTGAAAAGAATCTACAAATAAACTGTCTGGATTACACAGCAAATTGGTTGAATTTACTTATTACAAGATCAGTGTACTTTATATTTCTATATACGAGGAGCAGTTAGAAAAATTTTAGAGTGACACCATTTAGGGATGCCTGCTGATTCAGTCGATGGAGCATGCAACTCTTGATCTCTGGGTCGTGAGTTTGAGCCCCACGTTAGGTATAGAGTTTACTTAAAAAAAAAAAAAAAACTAAAAATTTTTTAAAAATTTTTAAAAAGTGACAACATTTATATTAGCTTCAAAAAACATTAAATACCTAAGAAGACATATAATGACAACTGCATAAAATCTCAGACTTGACACTCTAAGACATTCTTGAGGAAAGTTGAAGAACCAAATCAATGCCTATCTAACGTTAGTGCATCAGTATTTCCCAGAGTATGTGTTAATGCACAGACCGGAGGACCTTAATGCTTTTGATCCAGCAGATCTGAGGTAGGGCCCAAGAATTTGTAGTTCTAGGTGCTCTGCCGAGGTTCTGCAGTTGCTGGTGAAAGGCCCACAGCTCGAGAGCCACTAATCTAAGTAAGTAAGGGTGTATACCATATTCGAGGATTCAAAAAACACTGGAAAATTCAGTTCTCCTCAGTTTGAGGAACTTCTGTTGGTCCCGAAGTCCCAGCAGAGGGTGTGTGTGTATCTGGGTGTACGGAAACTGACAAGCTGAATCTAAAATTTACATGGAAATAAAAAGGGCCAAAAGAGCTAGCACAGACTTAGAGAAGAACAGCAAAACTGGAAGGCTTTAAACTGCCAGATTGCGAGATTTATAATAATTAAAACAGTGTTTAAGGGGTACCTGGGTGGCTCAGTTGGTGGCACGTCTGCCTTCGGCTCAGGTCATGATCTCGGGGTCCTGGGATCGAGTCCCGCATCGGGCTCCCTGCTCAGCAGGGAGTCTGCTTCTCCCTTTCTCTCGGGCCCTGAACCCGACCCCAGCCCTGCTCGTGCTCTCTCTCACTCGCTGTCTCTCCCTCTCAAATAAATAAATGAAATCTTTAAAAAAACAAAACTGTTTAATTGGTATACGAATAGACAAGTAGACAGACAGATAAGAGAATTCATAAACAGACCCAACACGTCCAAGGGGACCTGTAAGGGAGAAAGGACGGTCTTCCCAAGGCATGGTGCTAGAACAATTGGGTATCACTTTAGAAAACAAAGATTCTTGACCTCATACCATACACAGAAGTTCCTTCCAGATGAATTGTAGCACTGAATAGCAGAAGCCTATCCGACCAGAATGCCTATCCAATGTTAGTGCAGTGAATAGCAGCGAATAGCCAGTGAATAGCAGAAGATATTTGCAACAAATACATCCAACAAATGATGTCTATCTAGTACGTGTAGTACTATATTTTTTAAAAGACAACTTGATAGAAACAGGAACAGGCAGCACTTCATAAGAGGATCTCCAAATAGCCAGCTAAGTATTATGAAAAAAAAAAAAAGTGCAACACTGCTTTCTTGGGAGTGGATGGAAAATCACAACGGGACACTGGTGCGTGCCTGCCATGGAAGGAGAGCCAGTAGGCCTGTGGGCGGGAGCGCGCCTGGGACAAGCACTTGGGAGAGCTGTTGTGTCTACCAAAGCAACCTGGGACCCTGCAGTGGTATGTGGCTTTATATCTGGCGGGTGTGTGTAGCTGCTTCTCCCTAGCTGTCCTCAGCTCTGTCTGCTGACCCAGCCCATGCCATTCCATCTGTCTGCCCACTGAACCTGGCTGTGGGCAGTCACCTTGCCCAGAGTCCTCCTGCCTTCAGGATTAAACTAATATAGCCAAGCTGGCTTGAGAAATTTGCACGTATGCTTGGGTTAATCATACCAAAAACAAAGGAATGCCTTAAACCATCTCTAAATTTGTAAAGCCTGCTGGCTCTCTGATGGGCCTGGGAGTCAGGTGCTTTGGGTGGGTGGGCATTTGTGTAACCTCTCAGATCCCAATGTGAAAAGCATTCTCCTGCACCACCTAGGTCAACAATTTTTTTTCTTTTTCTTTTTTTTCATTTTATTTTAAGTAGGCTCCACGCTGAGCGTGGAACCCAACGTGGGGCTTGAACTCATGATCCTGAGATCAAGACCTGAGCTGAGATCAAGAGTCAGATGCTTAACCGATGAAGCCACACCCAGGTGCCACCCACCCACCCCACGCCCCTGCTGGGGTCAGCTGTTAATCACGTTTGCTTCCACCACTTTTTTTGTTGTTTTATCAAAGTTTGCACTCATAGAGGGTCAAGTAGTTTCACAGGGTTATGAAAAGCACCCTCCTCCCATTTCCTACTCACTAGAAGACATGACTTTTTTCTTTAAGATTTTATTTGAGAGAGAGGGAGCAAGCAAGAGAGAGAGAGAGAGCACGAGCAAGGGGGGTGCAGAGGCAGAGGGAGAAGCAGACTCCCCGCTGAGCAGGGAGCCCGATGCGGGACTCGATCCCAGGACCCTGGGATCATGACCTGAGCCAAAAGCAGACGCTTAACCGACTGAGCCACCCAGGTGCCCATAGAGGACACAGTTTTTAACTCACCCTGTTTCTTTGTTATTTGACTTCACACCCTCCCACTGCCACTATCAACATTTTACTATATATCTTTATCCTTTCGGTATTTCTTGTGTGGGGGTAAATATTAAGTATGCATATATTTAAGTCAAATTAAGAAAGCTCCATTTTTCCATCTGCATTTTTTCCACTTATATTTATATTCTTTATATTCTTTTGAAAACACCGTTTATAATATTCCATCTGTGAAGGTGCCTTGATTTGTTTAACCACATCCTTATTGTTGGACATTTTCGGTGGTTTCTTGTTTTGCTTGTTTTCTTGCTACTATGAATGTGAATATAATTCATATGTCTGTGTGTGTATGTGTGCTTATTACTATAGGCAAATAGATTCATAGATATATGCCTTTTCTCATAACTTTAGTCTTCTGTGGTTAATAACTGTGCAGGTTTTATTTGCTTGCTTCGCATTTGTTCACTGCACCGTTGACATCCTGGGGATGTCACCAGCGTCCTGGGATTCCCTTTGGCTTTCTCTCATTCTCTCCTGCTCCCCAGCTCCCATGTCTTGGTTTACTCCTTTGTCTAGGGGAGCAACCCCACTCCCCTACCACCCTGCAGAAGCTTCGTGAGAAAGGCATACATGGGAGATCCATTGTGTAGACCTCACCTGTCTAAAAAGCATCTTTATTTTACCACCGCCTTAATTTGGTTAGGCATAAAATTCTGGTTCTCAATTCACTCAGAATTTTGAAGGAATCATGATGTTGTTTTCTGGCTTCTGATATCACTGCCGAGAAGTCTGTTGCTGTTTGGATTCTTGGTCTTTTGTTTTGTGACGTGATGTTCACTCTGGAAAGATTTTGGGATCTTGGTCTTCAGCATCCTGAGATTTCAGTGATGTGCCTTGACATAGGTCTGTTTCATTCTTGTTCATTATGTTGTTCTAATGGTAACTTTTCCATATGGAAGCTCAGAGCCTTCAGTTGAGAGGCCTCTCCTTGAATTCCTTTACTTATTTTGATACTCTCTTCCCCTCTACTTTTCTGATTTATTTTTCTGGATCTCTCATTATCAGATGTTGGCCTCCCATACTTATTCTCTAATTTTCTTGTCTTCCCTGTTTTTTTTTTAATTGTCTATTTGTTTTACTTTACTCATTTCTCTATCTTTTAGGCTTCGATTTCATTTTTCAGTTCTGCTGTCCTAGTGTTAATTTCTAAGAGCTGTTTTTGGTCCTCTGGGTTTTTGTTTTAAGAGCATTCTATTCTTGATGGATTCAGTATCTCTTCATCTCTCTGAGGACATTAATAGTCATCTTTTAGAAATTGTCATCCATTCTGCATAGTTTGTTTTTGTAAGTTGCTTTCTTTTCCTTTTTGTTTGTTCAGGTATGTCTTTCATGGTAAAGGGTTTTCTCAGCTGCTCAGTTTCTGCATGTGCACATATTTAAGAGAGGACATTGAGAAGCTGATTAGAAATTCTGTGTGGGGGTTTGGTGACTGTGGTCTTCATCTGAAGGGGGGGAATCTTGCTGAGCTGCTTCGTTGGGGAACCCATGGGCTCGGCCCCTTTGGGCCCTTGGACATTCAGATGCCCCAGGGAAGACTTCCGGGTTTCTGTCGACAGGGCATCTGTTTGGCTTCATTTACTCCCCGTTTCCATCACAATCCTTCACAATCAGCTCTCTTCAAATCCCTCTTTTACCTTCTTTAAGAAAAAACATCTAGGGGTGCCTGGATGGCTCAGTCGTTAAGGGTCTGCCTTCGGCTCAGGTCATGATCTCAGGGTCCTGGGATCGAGCCCCGCATCGGGCTCCCTGCTCCGCGGGAGGCCTGCTTCTCCCTCTCCCACTCCCCCTGCTTGTGTACCCTCTCTCGCTGTGTCTCTCTCTGTCAAATAAATAAAATCTTTAAAAAAAAGAAAAAAAAGAAAAAACGTCTAGTTTTCTGCTGGGGTGACCTCATTCCTGCTGAACCAGTTCTGCTCTTTCCACCGCCCTCTTGGCCTCCCCCCCCAGAACTGCTCTGCACCCCCAGTGCCTGAGCGGGGGGCGGGGGGACTCCCCTGTCCTCAGCAGGGTGGTCACTGGCGTCCTGCGGCTGCCGGCTGAAACCCAGCTTCCCTGGGTCTTTGGAGTTGGTTACACCTGTCCTGCTACTGCCTAACTTCCCACGTTTCGTGGCTGATGTCTCCATTCCTATTATTTTTGTCTTCGTGGTTTGTGCCTTTAAAACAAATCCCAGGGGCGCCTGGGTGGCTCAGTCGTTAAGCGTCTGCCTCCGGCTCAGGTCATGATCCCAGGGTCCTGGGATCGAGCCCCGCGTCGGGCTCCCTGCTCCGCGGGAAGCCTGCATCTCCCTCTCCCACTCCCCCTGCTTGTGTTCCCTCTCTCGCTGTGTCTCTCTTTGTCAAAAAATAAAAAAATAAAATCTTTTTAAAAAAAAAAAAGCTATGTACTAATCAAGTATCCTTCCAATTTTTAAAAAAATTAAAAAATAAAAAATAAATAAATCCCGTTGTTTTAGTGAGGTTTCCGGATGAAGAGGACATAAATATGTGCATTCACGTCACTGTCTTCAACCAGAGATGTCCCCCACTGCTATTATGGGAAGACGACGTCTGAGAGCAGTCAGTTGAGAACAGTGTTCCAAGGAGGTTTGAAGAAGAATTATTTTTTTGTTTTTTTTTAAAGATTTTATTTATTTATTTGAGAGAGAGAGAATGAGAGAGAGAGCACAAGAGGGAAGAGGGTCAGAGGGAGAAGCAGACTCCCCGCCGAGCAGGGAGCCCGATGTGGGACTCGATCCCGGGACTCCAGGATCATGACCTGAGCCGAAGGCAGTCGCCCAACCAAATGAGCCACCCAGGCGCCCCAAGAATTATTTTTTTGGTCATTGACTCACCAGGAACCATTAGGCTGGAGCTGTTAATAGGTTCTAAGACCCTATATTTGCTGTAGCTTCTTGGCAACGTTCTTTTTCTTGCAGGTACAATGGGGAGGGACACGTTTGTCCATGGGGCCCCCTAAATGGCAGACTTTCCCCAACGGGAACTCTGAGAGGCATGTGGATTCTACCCGGGGCTCTGCACAGATCCCAACTTTGTCTTATTTTTTCTCTTCGGCAAAATGACTGTTTTATCCCTTCTGTTCCCAATCCCCACACCTGTTGTATAGGATGATGAGAGCCTGAAGTACCTGACCCATGAGGAAAAGGATGTCATCCTGTTTTTTGAAGAGACCATTGATTCCCTGGAAGAAGACTTTGAAGAGCAAGTCCTATGTGACGGCCACTCTCTGGGGTCTCTTGGAGAGTATGCTTCCGGTCACGAGCCAGGAGAGGTCATTGATTTAGTGCAGCCAGCTCCGGAGGCAGGGGAACCGGAGTGCCTCCCGGCTGGGACGGACACGGCAGGTGAGGAGCGAAGCCCAAACCCCAGGCCTCTGGCTTGGTTCGTTAGTGTCTTAGAGGACATTGTGGTCTTCCCCTGTGTGCGGCCAGTATGGATGCTGTGCGGCCTCATCAGGTTTTTGCAGGGTAGAAGCATGCTCTTGGTCGTTTGAGTGTCCAACCAAGTGGATGCTTTCGTAGTGTATTAGGAGACAGCCCATGAAGGGAAATTCCAAAAGGGCCAAAATAAAGAATGAGACTAGCTGGCCACATGAATCGATTCGTATATGTATTAAAAGAGAAAGAAAACTGGAAAGGACTTCCAGGTGTTAACAATTCATTTTACGAAGAAAACAGACAAGGTACTTATATTTTAGCCCTTGGGTTTGATCTCAGATTTTGAACAATCTTATACCCCTGTTTCTCTAGCATGACTTTCCAAAGTGGGAGTATTTGGACTGAAAAGTCCGCTGGTTCAGGGAAACAGAAAAAGAGCGGACAAGAGTTTGGCTCAGCATCTAGTAGGTTGTAGGTTTGTAGGTTTGCTTGATTCAGGGCAGCCTCAAAGGAGAGGCATGCTTTTTGTCTTTTGAATCCTGTGAGAGCAGACAGGATGGACGAGGTGGGATTGTCTGGCACTGTTTTTCCTGATTGGAAGAGATACTGGAAATAAATTTGGGCAAGGGGATGAGAATTGGAAGGATGAGGGAGAAACAGAAGGGAAAGGATTTGGGCTCTTACTACAAAACATTGCCGTTTGTCACAAGCCTCTAGAAATATATTTTCTTTCGTGTGTGTGTGTGTGTGTGTGTGTGTGTGTGTGTGTTGTGTGCGTGTGTGTGCAAGGCCGTGTGTTACATCAAATTTCACAGACCGGGGTTCTCAACTCCAGGTGTGGAGTTTCATGTGCAGCCACATCAGCAAAGAAGAGACTGAATAAGAATTTCCCATTTTTAATCACACTTCTTTGAAGTGTAGTTCCTACAGCTAACTTGAACCTGCTGATCCTTTAAAAATGCCAGATTGTATACTTATGCCAAGGGAAACACTTAGCGAGGGAAAGCCGCCCTGCCCATCCATCTCTAATGTGACATTTTCACAACAGTTGCAAGTGCCTGCTCTGGCGGGCGCTGTGTGAGATTCCAAGGATAGAGACAAATAAGATATGGCTTGCAGTTCTGCAGCAAGAGACAGGTGCGTGCATGTAGGCGCAGACGGCGTTGGGTGACCTGCGATCCATATCTGGTAAGGATATTGCAAAGGCTCAGAGGCTGGTGTATTGAGTTCTGCCCGGGGCTGTCTGACACATCCAGGTAAGCTTCATCTAGAAACACCTGATGTGGGGGTGCTCCCCAACCTTCCCGCCTCCATTTCCCTTGGCAGCACCCCGTCCTAAGGCAGGTTGTTATTCCCTCCTGATAACATGCGTCCTTAGAAGCCTGCAGGCTCAGTGTGCATCCCAGGGGCTGAGCCTTCAGACTGGAGTCTTCCATGGTCACCGGCTGATGCCTTCTCATCACATGGTGGTGAGACTCACCTAGAATGTTCTCCTTCACTGGGCCAGGGAGTTTAGCTGGTGGGATGCTGACATCGCTTCTGACGTTGGCTTTATGTCCCTTGGAGGCCATCGTAAATTCAGTAAGAAGGAAATAGGATGCATTTATTTTTACCTAAGGTGGGAGCTGATGAGGATTCTGCCTCCTTTTCAGGGGCTGGCCCTGTCGGGAAGGAAGACATTCCTGTCCTTGAAGGCAGGAACCCAGAAGCCGGGGGTCCATCCTCGCCAGACTCCGCAGGTCCACAGACCCCTCCTGTGCTACCCTCCCAGCCTGTGGCCGCAGCGGCAGCGCCCCCCAGGAAAGAGCTGCCTGCCCCTGCGCCCCCCACAGAGCACCCCAAACTACCCCGCTCTGTTCCCACCCCACTGGTAATCGCTCAGAAAATGTCCGAGAAGTTGGCTGGAAATGAAGCGCTTTCACCCGCGTCCCCCTCCAAGGAGGGCAAGCCTGGGGACTGGAGGACACTGCCTTCGGGGGCCCCTCGGAACGGGGACCCCTTCCTGGGGCACAGACACATGGCCCAGCCTGCGCCCAAGATCCACCGCTTCCCGAGCAACATCAGCGTGACCAACAGCGCGGGGAAGGAGTTCAACAAGACCATCTCCAAAGCAGCTGTCAATGTGCAGGAGCGGAAGGCCCGGGTCTTGGCCAACATCAATGGCATCTCTTTCCTGGCTGCCGGGGAAGCGGAAGACCGGGCCCCCAGGGCTGATGTCACCGAGCAGACGACGCGTGGCCAGAGCAAGCCATGCCCCGTCCACGAAACCACGTCCACACGGGCTGGCGGCCACGCCGGCACTCAGCAGCAGTCCAGAGGCGTGCAGACAGAACAGTGCCTGCCATTGCCCAACGGCTTCCAGAGCATCCACGACGTCCTGAAGAGTGAGCCCAGTGCCTTCGTCGTCTCCACGGGAAAAACTGTCACCTTCCGTCCAGACCCGGCGCTTGCCGGCAAACTTGCCCGCCAGAATGCCAGCAGGAGCTTTTACGAGCACCGGCAGCCAGACTGCGGCCAGGATGCCAGGAAGCGGTCGGGTTCGCTGCCCAGGGCTGTTGGGTTCAGGCCCCAGGGCATCACCGTCCAGTTCTCTGGCCGCGGGTCTACGGAGGAGGCCCGCCGGGAGGCCCTGCGCAAGCTCGGCCTTCTGAAGGAGAACTTGTGATGGAGGATGGGGGGTGCGGTGCTGGAGAGGCACGATGGCCAGGCCCGTGAGGCCTAACACGGTGTGCCCGCCTGAGGAGCAGTGGCCATGGTCCCAGGACTGTGCCCTGAGGAGGATGACAGATGACAGGTGCCAGGACTCTGCGGGCCGGGCGGAGGGAGTGGGGACAGGAAGGGCCACCTGACTCCGCTGCTACATCCGAGCAGGGCTGTCCTTCTGGGAGAGTATGGCCCTGTATCTTGTCTTCCTTTTTCCAGGCGCTCAGAGAAGAACCCCGAAAACCCTAAATGCCATATCTCTTTTTTTTTTGGATTTAGAAGGAGGGGGATTGGGTCTGATTTGTTATTCTTCCATCTCTCATCTAGACTTTTACCCCAAGGACATGTGACACCCAAGCCAGGTTAGATCTCTTACACTCAATTATCCATGAAAGGGATTTTCTCTTCCTTTTCTGTTTCCTAAAACAGAAATGCCTGTTCAATTTTCATAACATCTCAAAGCATCTCCTTTGGTTTTTCGGTTTGTTTTTCAGGGGTAAAGGTTGGTGTGTTAACCCTAGATGTGTCTTTGTTTCTGGATATGATTTGGTTTGCCCATTTGTGTTTTTTTTTTTTTAATTGAAAATTGAACCCTTCAGAGTATGATTTACTGTAATTTTGCGTTACAGGAGTGGAATGGAAAGGTTGGATTTGGAAAAGGTGGTAGTTTTCAGAAAGCAAGTCCCATCAGACTGCGGGGGCTTTGTCACTGGGAGATACGTGGTGAATGTGTATGGTGTGTATATTTTTACATAAGGTGTGTTTATAGAAACGTGTTCACACGCACATGCATTCGTGAGTCCATATCTGCAAACTTCTGAAGACGCTATAAGTGACTACAGGATGCAAGCCCTTCCCACTCTCTTGACGGATGCGACCATACCAGCTGCGACGGGACAGAGATTGGAACCTCTAAGGGCACATCTCCATTGTCTCCACAATCACCCATGTGTCACTCTGTACCCAAGGAAGGTAATATTCCAAGTAGGCTTCCAGAGAAGCAAAATAGTTCCTTCTGATTTCAATTTATCACCCAATTCTGGTTGTGCATGTTGCAAGGTAGCTAGGGTAAACAGAAGGAAATAAAAACATTCTTGAGATCTCTCATGTTCTGTGAGTAAGATCTCAGGATTAGCTTTAAAGGGGAAAAAAAAAACCCCAGCAAACTAGGTTCCACAGTCGGAGAAGAACTGCTTTTCTCCCAGACTGTGTGTTACATGCTGAGTTGTAGCCACAAGCATTATTATTAAAACTATTTAAGGCTGGAGTCTTAAGCCTCTAAAAATAGACTGGGAAGGGCCCCAGTTGCAAGTCACGCCCTTCTGTTATTATATCTCAGCCAGTGTCACAGTCTCGGTTTCCTCCTGTTGAGTATTATTTAAATTAAAACTTTTAAATGTGCCGTAAAGCACGTCTTTCATAGTATTCAATTTGCCTTGTAAGTTCCATAAAATGATGGTCATTTTCTTCCTTAGAACTATGGTATTTAGTGTCTCATCCAGCCCGTGTCTTCCTGAAATAATCTTATAGATTCTCGATGGTCTTAATTTAAATAGGTGCTTTGATTTTACAGGTTTTTAAAATAGTTTTTATTGTGCTCCTATTTGTATTCGATTTTGTTTGAAGAATTCTTGAGGGCTGTATTACCTTTCACAAAATGAGATGCCATACACAGTGTTTAAAGATAGAGGGTCTTGATATGGCTAACATTTTAAATATCCTTTAAATATGAGAATTATCTGTATCCTGTGACTTCACTGTGATTAAGGTCAACGTGACTATATATTAGTATATTTGTTCTCACAATGACGTTTTTGAAAAATAAATTTGGAGATTTATCTTAAGTATAAACAGCTTTGTTTTTGCATTTTATACTTGGTGCTCAGTTATTTTCTTTTAAATGGTTACATCCTTCTCTTGTATTTATTCATAATTATACTGGCTATTACTCCGGCCATTTCTTGTGCCCAAAACCCTAGTAATTAAAGCCATGTGTTTTGTATGAGGTTCAAATGATAGCTGTTAATGCAGTAACCTGTGTATGTATCAGGTTAACAAAAACATCTAGTTTGGGGGTGCCTGGGTGGCTCAGTCGGTACAGCGTCTGCCTTCAGCTCAGGTCATGATCCCGGGGTCCTGGGATCAAGTCCCGCATGGGGCTCCCTGCTCAGACTCCCGTCTGTTTCTCCCTCTGCCCCTTATCCTGCTTGTGCTCTCTCTCAAATAAATAAAATAAAATATAAAATAAAATAAACATCTAGTTTGCGAGGTATTCGTTCCCCTGCCATAACTACGTGATAGGACATTCACAAAGGCTCATCCTCAAGCGAATGTTAAGGACCCCATTTCAAAGCAAAACTGTAATGAAAAGAAAAGATGAATCTCAAGTGCCCAGGTTTTTTTTTTTTTCCTTCTCTTCAAATTGATACCTGTAAATCACTCTCCATTTTTATGAAGCTCTTTATCTTAATGCTCAAAATCAGGGGAAAAGAATTCTTTGCTTTTAGGAAGGTATGTACACATGACCAGTCTCGTCCACACACAGCAATACGTCGCAGATACTAGAGTAACAGTCCGCACACGGGGCGTCTTAAGTCTGTTGAGGTGCTTAAGGCGGTGGGTCGGGCCTGAGCTCACTCCTGCTCTTCCCTCCCTGTGCGGCACACACGGACATGGAGGGCACAGGATTCTTCCCACGAAATTCCTCGTGGGGGGGACTCCTAAGGTTGGCTCCCCGTTTTCACGGAGGGCTTAGAGGAGTTGATAAAGTGAGGCCTCAGGAGACCCTCAGAATTGGCCTATTTATTTGTGAAAAATCAGAAAGGTATTCTCTTTGTTAAGTTCCCACAGCTCCGGCTCTGAGGCCTTTGACCCTACAGAGGATTTGGTGGTAATGTTTTTGATGTAGGTGATCTGAGAAATCGGTTCTTGATGTTTATTCAAGAGGAACGAAGAGAGAGAAATAAGATAAATATGAAAACAATACACTCGTTCCCGCTGTGCCGGGTCTCTAGTGGAGGCGGCAGAATGCGGACATTGTTTCCCTAGGAGGGTTTTCGATTGCCCGGACAAGGTGTAATACGCTTTTCTCCCTCAGCTCTCCCTTGAGATATTATATGTTTGTCATCAAACCCTCATGTTCCCTGAAGGCTCTGGAGCTGGTTTGCTGTGTTTTTCCCCTGCTCCGGCCTGTGACCCCAGCTGCCTGCCTGGGGGGCAGTCGGGAGGGGAGGCGCGTGAGGAATGCTCACCTGTGACAGGTCCGCGTTGTCACTGAAATGACAAGCCACCAGACAGGTTCTGCTTGTTCTCTTCACAGCAGGGCTTTCTCCGGCTTTCAAGTATGGGGACAAGTGGGCATATCCTTTTCTAATCTATTCACTGGACAAGCCCTGCTTTCAGATACCTGAGAAAAGAGAAGGCAGGGCTGTAAGCCGCCGAGGAGGCCTCGGAAGATGGGGACTCAACTGCATTTGCGAGAGGGGGGCGCCGTGTGGCCAGGCCAGGAATGCAGCCCCCTGCCGCCTCGGCTGACCAGTCCAGTCCAACCCCTGCTCCCTGGCCCCTTGCCAGGTTCTCCCTCTTCCCCAAGGGCAGCAGAACTGCTGGGGGAGAAACCATTTGTCCGCACCAAGGAAAGGCCCGGACACAGGATAATGACCTAAGCACACTTCCCAGCTCACGCTTTTCAGCATAAAAAGGGTCAACCTTTGGGTGTGACGTTTGCAGTCCTTCTAAAATGTCTCCTTTTTTAAAAAACAGATAACAAAGCTCTTCCCTCCATATTCCAAATTCCTAAGACTTAAGAAATGCCAACCACCGCCATCACCAGCGGGCTCACTCACTGTCCTGGCTACTGTCCTTCTAGGGAGGCCACGGATGACCCCAGGAGCCAGGCAGAGCCCGCTCCATTGCAATACCATCACCGCACCAACATGCCAGCCCCGCTCTGTAAAGATCTCCTTCAGGCCCGCTTCTTATCATCTGAACCGTAGGAACCTTCTATTTAGCAAAAAGGCGGGGAAACATGGAGGTTTCCAGAAATGACCCAGAAAGCCAAAATGGCAAACACGTGTTCTTAGGCTGGGTGGGGGAAAAACCACAAATGGCCCTAAATTAGGGGCAGGGTCCACACCCCCTCCACTCCCACACCCCGCCTCCACCGCCGCCCAGAGAACTGTGTGATCCTGGGACGCCTCCTAGTGTTGCTTTCTGCCTTCTGATTCCCCCACGGGCCCTTCTGCTTTGGGGGCACACCAGGATCCAGAGCAAAGCCAAGGCAGAAGGAATCTCCCCGCCTCCATGGCTGGGTTGGATGCAGGCTTTTCTGATTCTCACTGCTTCTTCTAGATCCTTAAAGCTAGCCATTTCCCCAGCTGACCATGTTTCTGAGGTTCAGAGAACATTTCCAAAGGGGAGACCTACCCTCGTTTTGTGGAGGGCCTCGGGGGTCTACTTTCTGGACACGAGAACTCCTAGTGTGGTGGCTTAGGTTCAGCATTCAGAGGTCACCCCCGCCCGACACCCCCTGCTTGTAGTTGAGGCGGGGGCTGTGCCGGTCCGGCCCCGGGCCAGAGGGAAGAATTCAGATTCAGAAGCAGAGGTTAATGGAACTGAGTCATTGATAAACACGTTACACTTCATAAACCAGCCTCCCAGTATTTGTGGGTGAAACACAGCTGCCAAGGGTAACAACCGAAGTTTTGGAAATAACCTTTAAGGGGTGGGCTGAGTGAACAAGGAATCCGTGTGTCAGACAGAGAGGCTCCAGGGCATGAGCGTGCACACGCGCTTCTAGGAGGCTGGTGGGTTTCCATCCATGGCATTCGCTGAGTGTCGCTGAGTGGTATGTGCCCCTGGAGCGGGGGACATGCAGTGGGAGGCTGGCCCTTGTTACCAGTCTCAGTGGTCTTTGTACAATCAATCACATCACTCCTCACGGAACCTACACCCCGACGTTAAGTGGGATGGTAATGATAGAAGGTTCTCTCCTGCTTCCAGCTGGTCCTCCTGTGGTTACGTAGCTTCCCGTAGCTTCCCTCCTGTGGTTACGTAGCTTCCCGACAGAATTTATCCTGTCACTTAGACATCCTTTGGTGTCTAAGTATTTTGAAGTTGGAGGGAAATAACCTTTGCCTTGTGAAGACAATTTCAAAGAGGAGGAAAGTTCAGGAAGGGCCTCCCCGGCCAGGCTTGCTGTGGAGGCTAGGGAGCCTCACCTCCCTGGGGCTTGCTTTCTAAACCCAGCCCGGGGCACCTCCCCCAGGCTCTTCCCAACTCACCATGCATGGGTTTGTGATACTTCTTGTAAGGAATCTTAAAGACCAAAGGAGCTCAACTGAAATGTTAATTGTGGAAAGCAGTTGTCCGAAACTAATAATTCATGCAGCTTAGGAGGCGAACCAAGTGGTCCTGAATAGGACCATGTTCGCCGATTCGTTCAGCAAGTCTCTGTGTCCTTCTGTGGGCCCCATGCTCTGAGTGTGCTAAATGTCACCACCTGTTCCTCATGATGACCTGCCAGGTAGAGGGGTGTGACGACCTCTTACAGATGAGAAAACGCAGACTTCTCTTCACAAGGGGTTCCTGGGGGCCAGTGGGTCCATACCCTGGTGGCCTGATGTGCAAACTCCCCGCTTCCCACACCTTCTGTGAAGCTGCCCGTGCCTCGCCAGGCTGCTACCTTCCAGCTGCCCCTTCTCCCGAGTGTGGAGATGGCTGACCCTCCTCAGTGTCACCGAGAGAGACCACGATCCCGTTTCTCCTCTCCAGAGCCCTTCTTGTCCCCCGTGGAGCCACTTCCTGGAGTGTTCTGTCTGCCCCCACTTGCTAGGGCCTGTCCCCGATTTACGGCTGTACCTCAGCTTACAGGGACCGAAGGGCGTGGCATGGTTGGGGAACAAAGGGGAGTCAGGTGAAGACTGTCAGTTCCGCAGTCTGGCTTGGTGGAAAGAGCATTCCGGTGGGCTGCACAGAGCTGGAAAGAGGAGAGGGAAGTGGGGTGTGTTCCCCGGGCCTGCAAAGGGCCCTTCGGCCGGGGCTGGGGTTGCTTGGACCTGCTGCTGTATGTGACCTCCGCCTCAGGGGATCCAGTTCAGAGCAGGTCCTTTGGCTCCATGCCTCCACTCTGTCCTTCAGGACTTGCTTCTGGAATCTGGAATTGCCAGTCATGGTTTCCAACACCCCCGTGTGCAAGACTCCCACACACACACCGCACACCCAGCCAGCCGAGTTCCCCGGGGACATTGCCCGGCCTGCCCCTTGGCAGTCCTCTGAAGTTGTGGTTGTTACTGGAAAGGCCACCAGGCTTCAGTGGAAAGTCTGGGACCCAGCTGCCCCAAGCATCAGGGCTCAAGGCAGGGCAAGGCAAAGCGGAAGCCCACGCCCGGCCTCAGCCTCGCCCTTCACCAGAGGCCACCCAGCTCCAGTGGGAGCTGCCTCCGGAGGCTTCTGGGGCTGGACTTGTTCTCCCCATTGTAAGTCTCCAGCCACAGTCCGCTCAGGACACAACTGCAGCACAAACTGGTGGTCCTTCCCCAATCTTGTCGGGGATTATTGCAAGTCTGCCAACATTTGTAGGTGGCATTGTTGAAGTTTTGTCTACATTTTATTGGGATGCACCAGCTCTGAGAGACCTGGGCATCTCCTTACCTTGAAAGGCTCTATGCTTTGTCTAATAGTGAATGTTGCTGGTGTTTATTTTTCTAAATTATTTATAAGATTTTGTTTATTTGAGAGAGAGAGAGAGAGCGCACAAGCAGGGGGAGCGGCAGAAGGAGGGGGAGAATCAGGCTCCCCGCTGAGCAGGGAGCCCCCCATGGGACTCAGTCTCAGGACCCTGGGATCATGACCTGAGCCAAAAGCAGACGCTTAACTGACTGAGCCACCCAGGCGCCCTGTTGCTGGTGTTTAAATTCTATTTTGGTACATTTCTTCCAGGAATAACTTCTTTCGGTGCTCGTTTGGGCCAGATTTAAAAATCACCCAATTTTATCTTTTAAGCCAGCTTTTTTTTTTTCAGCTGAATCATCCACGTGCACAGCAATTCCAAATGACCACTTGCTATTTCTAGAAATCAGATCCACCTTCAAAGGTAGATTTGGCCCCACGTGCACTCTGCCCGATTCCAGACTCCATACTGAAACCCAGCAGGCTTCATGAGGAGCAGAGACCGCAGAGAGAAAAGACTTGAGAGGCGATGAGAACTGCCTCCAGAGGCTTACAAGGCGGCTAGAACAGAGAATCCTGTGCAGCCACAGAGATGACACAGGGCAGATTCCAGCTCCATATAGGAAACTTTCGGGGCTTTGAGCTGAGCGAAATGGAGAGAACTGTTCATGGGAGTGTGAGTCCCATTTCCACGGAGGTGTGCGAGCAGGGACTCTGCAAGCACCGTGGGACAGGAAGGTGACAGGAATTGTACTCAGTGTCACCCCTTCCAAATCTGATATCTTGTCATGGGTTCATAGAGAGCAGGCTTTGTTGTTACCCTGACCTGAGTTTGAATCCCAGTCCACTCAGGACACAACTGCAGCACAAACTGGTGGTCCTTCCCCAATCATGAATCCCAGCCCTATGATTGTTGGCTGTGTGACTTAACTTCTCTGAGTCTCACTTTCTTCACCTGAAAAAATAGGGGGTGACCCATACTCACCCCATAAGGTTGTTGTGGGACTGAATGAGATCACATAGGCTAAGTTTGGCTTGGCACACACCATCACCATCACTATTATCACCATCCCCACATCATCATCATCACCACCATCACCACCACCATCAGCATCACCATCACCACCATTACCACCACCATTGCCACCATCACCACCATCATCATCACCATCACCACCATCACCACCATCACCGTCACCACCATCACCATCACCACCATCACCACCATCATCATCACCATCACCACCATCACCGTCACCACCATCACCATCACTACCATCACCATCACCACCATCATCATCACCACCATCAGCATCACCATCACCACCATTAGCACCACCACTGTCACCATCACCATCACCATCACCATCACCATCACCACCATCACCACCATTGTCACCATCACCACCATCACTGTCACCACCATCATCACCACCACCATTGTCACCATCATCACCACCATCATCACCACCACCATTGTCACCATTGTCACCATCACCACCATCAGCATCACCAACACCACCATCATCATCACCATCATCACCATCACCATTATCTTGATCACCATCATCTGCACCATCTCCACCTCCATCATCATTATCACCACAAAGTCTGTGCCGGAATTCCTATAGAGCCTTCTAGAATGGCCCTGTGCTAGTCCAGCAGCAGGAAGGGTGAGCAGGCACCAGCCTAAGAGCCTCATTCAGATACCACCACTCACCACAGTCCCATTCCTAC